ACCCAAGCAAGAAAAAAAAGCAGATACAGTATAAGAAGTGGGGCAGAAGGGGAAACAAACCAGCTGCCACTCCAATCACAATACATTTCGCTTTATTTTGTCCAAGTATTACATTATGTAATCAAACACGCATGCAGTAAAGTTTTAATTAATACACTGCAGGGAAAGGTGGAATGGAAAGGGAATCTGTCTGAGCAGAGAAGCTTGTAGGATAGAATGAACACTGTTAAAATCTTTACAATTGCTGTTTGCAAGTAATTAACCTGACCAACACATTCTTATATTTAATAGAATTAAATGGGGCTCTGATTAGGCCACCTGCCCATGTATAGTTTGCAGGAGCAGGGCCATAAACTTTACTGTAGTGACAAGAATTTAAATGTGATGCAATAATTCTAGTTTAAATTAAATTTTTCTCCCTTCCAACACATATTCTGTACTTAAGACAAATACCCAGAATACCCAAAGAAGAGACTAGAAGGACCTTTATGCATACACAGGTGAGGAATCATAAATTAAAGAGAGAATAGCTATTAATTACCATATCACAATAATGCTCCTTATTTGGCTACAGCCAGAAAGCAGACCTAGATACATCTACAAAATACTGCACACTTCTAGCATTACACTGCTCCTCCCACACACTTAAAATAAAGGATGTACTCATTGTACCCAGGTTCTAATGCATTTATCTCTTTATGAAACTGATATGACATACAGTATTGTAGAAACTATATTCTAACTGCACTCCAAAGAAAATATATAATAGAAGTTGCACTGAAATATAAATCTGTGATTTGATCTCTATGTATTCTCAGAGCAGTGTGAAAGTCTGTTCAACTCAGATTCAGTTACCAACAATAGATCAAGAATATATTCCAGAAATCAAAACTAATCCCTAACTCTACCAAGGAATACACTATACCATTCTTTTTAAAGAAAATGTGTTGAAATGTGCAGAAAGACATGTTCAGTAAGAAACAGGCACAAAAAGGGGTTGCAAAAGGTTAGCTAGCTTCTCACAAAGTGAAATAATACTTAGATTCTAGGTTGGATTCCAACTTCAGCATGAAAAATTACAAACACAGATTATTCAGCAGATCACTATTAGAACAGCATACAAAAAAACCAACCCCCACCATATCCCGTCACATTCCTCAAAAATATATATATAAATAAATAAACAAACATGCGAGCAGAGGGGAATATCAATTGTTCAAAGGCTTGCATAAGCATTAAATAAAATAAGTTTCTAAAGAACAGCATCTATCCCTAGAGTGGCCAGCAAAAACATAACTGATTCTAAAATGGTACGCCCATTTTTTCAGTTATCATCACTTTCCTTCCTCACAATCCAAACATTTAGCAGCCTTGCAAGAAATAATTTCTCTCACCCTCCAATAGTGAGTTACTAATTATTTCTTTTAGCCAGGTGTTTAGCCAGCAGCAAAGGTTATTTGGCGTTACGTGTAGAATTTAATTCTGTACGGATTTCTCTTCTTCACATCCACAGCTTCCTTTTCAGAAAAAGGATTACCAGACTCACTCCCCTTTCACACCTTCAATTTTGAAAAATTCTATCCACCCACAGCGTGGGAGTTTGCGCTGCCCTTTCAATGAGGCTCAGACGGAGGCTTGTGACCCAAAGGTAGCTCTTCAAAAGGTTGTGTATTCAAAGAGGAATGAACTCCCAAAGGAACTAAGGATCACCAAGTCTTCCCACCTTCTGTTCCAAGTGCAAGGTATACTTCTGCCACTTTGTTTTCTATAAGAAACACAAACTCTACTCATTCACTTGTCCAGAATATGTAAAACTTTATTTCATGAGACGATAAAATGTGTTACTTCTATTCTTGCAATCGTGTCAAGATTGGAGGAACAGATTTTGTGTCTGTTCTAATGAATTTTCATTATTTTTTCTAAATTGCCTTAAAAGAGAGGTGTGAAGCTTAGATTTTCAGGAAAGTCATTTACACAAATCACTTTTTGCCTGACTAGTACAGCTTGCACGGATGTTAAAGACATGAAGAATCCCCATTTAAATTTCAAATGTCTGTTTTTGGCAGGATGGATAGCTTATCTTTTCAGTACTTCCACTGTGAAATGTAGTTTTTTAAAATTTCTGTTTCTACCATTGTTGCACAGCCCAGAGTATTGAGGGGGACAAAAATACTTATGCAGACGAAATTTTTAAGTCAGGATGAATCCACGATTTTTCCATTTAACATTGACTATTACAGTGTAAAACTAGGGAGTGGTTTATACTGCATGTTCTCTGATGCAATGGTTGTGTCAGAATTTACTAAAATCTGCTGCAGAATTCTCCAATAACTTGAGTTTTTTTAATAAGCCATATTTCAAATATATGTCTTGCACTATTTCACTATACATCAGAAATAGCAGAAGATCTTGGAAAACAAAACATATCAGTTGCACCATTCATGCTTATAAGCAGGCAAGCCAGCACAAGTTATCTCAGTGCTCCTGGGCATCATGCCACTGACCTTCCTCTCAGAACTATGCATCTCAAAAGGTACAAATGACACTTATTTTCAGCATTATTCTAAATAAAACTTGTTTAAGCAGATTACGGATTCGATATCACCAAAACTTCTTAACGGAAGTCTTCAGATGTCTTTAAAAAAATCTGAGACTTTGCCTAATGCCTTTTGTTTTGGAAAGGCTGCCAAGATTGGTAGGTACAAAATCCAGAGGGCTTCAGATCCTGGGTTTTAGTTTATTTTAAAATTATCTCCCCTGCCAGACACCAGAAAACTATTCAGACCATGCTCCATTTATTGCTATTCCTAAAAAAGACTAAGCAAACTTTCCAGAGACGGGTAAGGAAGACACATTCATACACCAGAGCTTTCCTACTTCTCTTTTTCAAAATATTAATGCAAGTAGAAGTAAATCTTCCTGCTTGATATCAGAAAGGGACTTGGCCCAACAAGAAACAATGCACCCTTAAATTAGGGTGTCTGAGGATTTGTTAAATATACCTATTGAAAACCACCAAAATCTCAGTAAAGATCCAAGCAGGTGGACCAGAATGTCTAATCTGTCATTCATAGTCAGCAGGAGAATCTTGGTATTATCAAAAATAAGGATGTGCAACCAAAAGTAAGAACAGTAAATTATTACTGGGTATCTAAGACAACCAGAAAAGAAAATACGAAGTAGCTAAATAAACAAGAATTCCCCATATTCCAAAGGACAAAAGGTATTTGCTTTCTTTCGGAGTATTGGCAAATATGATTACCTTTTATGGAATATTTGCTGTAGGGGTCTGCTATCCTCACCTCCCACCACCTTAATTGCTCTAAAAATCATCCTGTTTAAAGTTGACCAGCATGTGGATGCCCTTCATTTTTTTTGTCATATGTTCCATCCTTGAGTACTTCTCAGAAATATAAAGTAAAACTTAACAGCTAGCTTTAATAAGTTCAGTTTCACTTTCTATACACAGAAGGGACTGAATGTAGCCAAGGAATAGTAGTACTAAACAAACCTCATTATGTATTGTAGTATATTTAATTTCCAGCCACTACACTCTTTCCCTTGTGCTTACAAGCAGTGTCAAAATATTTTCAATACAACATACTTCCCCCTCCCCACCCCCCAAAGGCTGAGAAAACTGCAATAAAGATGACTTTGCACCAACAGCTTTATATTGCAGCGCTGACTTCCCTACCACAGAGAAACATGCTACCATTGAGGGAACACGAATATCAACTCATTCCAAAAGGATCACAGCACTTTGGTACCAAAATGTGCCTACTTGGGGCACATCTCCATTACAGATACTACAGTGAATCAGCTACAGTGCTGCAGCTGTGACGCTATAGCATAGTATAGATGCTTCCTACATTGACAGAAGGAGGTTTTTTTAATCAATGTAGTTAATCCATCTCTCCAAGAGGCAGTAGCTAGGTCAATAGAAGAATTCTTCCATTGACTTAGCCGCATCTGCACCGAGGCTTAGATCAACCTAACTAAGCGGTCAGGGTGAGAAATTTCTTTACAGCCCTAAGCAACATAGATAGGTTGATCTAATTTTTAACCAGGCCTTAGTAATAAGTTTAACTCCCTAGGGAGCTCTCAGTACCAATGAAGGACCCACACGGACATGTTCCTTTGAGGCCGAATTTTGCATCAGACTAGAAGACTTAAATCTCCAAAACAACAGTCTCAGTGCTGATGAGGCCTCCGAGCCCATAGAAGACTTGGGCACTATAGCCACAGAGCCCAGATCTATCCAGTACCAACTTAATCAGTGTAAGTCCCTGATTTGCCTAGTTTTGAACTCAAATGCAACCTAAGTTCCTTCACGGGACATAAGGCTGATCTGTGGTGGGATGGAGGGATCAAGCGCCAAAGGCTGTCTTGGGGAAGAAGGCAAGAAGCCTCTGCTGCCTGTCAGTGCTGGCTTGAAGGATGAAGGCCGTACACTGTGACTAGGGAAACAGACGTCCCACAGCACAACAAACATCCAACACTGTTCGGGCTTGGCCTCTTTCTTCTCCCAGGGGCCAAGCCCGAACAGTCCTAGGCGCCACACTGCACTTCTGTAACCTTGGCTGAGAAAGAAGGAAGTTACAGGACCCCAACGAGCTGCTTCCAGAAGGCTCCTGAAGCGCAGCAGAACTTCCCACAAGGGCCAGGGTATAAAGAAGCTGCATTTCAGCCACCCCCACCCCCGGATTTGGTCGATTTTCTAATAGGCCGTGGACCTGGGTAGCTCCTCGGGCAGGTTCCAAACAGAACTCGAGTCTACCCCTCCCCCCACCTGACCGCTCCACAGCCCCCCTCCCCTCAGACCCTGGCAGTGGCGCATGCGCGGTGCCAGTCCCCTCACCGTTGCCAGGTGATGACTTTCCCTCCCCGCCGTTCTCAGCAGCAGCAGCAGCAGGTTCCTCCGCCTCTTTCTACCCCGGGGTCCGGTGTGGGCCCCGCCGCTCTTCTCGGCTTTTCCTCCTCCCAGCGCTACAGCTGCTGCCGAGCACGAAGCAGCAGTCCAGCCCCGACACAATCTGACCCGCGGGCCCCTCCGTAGCTGGAGCTCCTCGGCTAGTAGGGTCCCCAACGGATTAACGGCGGCGGCGGCGGCGACTGGCGGAAGTGACGCGCTGACTGACAGGTGCAGCAGCGCGCGCGCGCGCCGCCGCCGCCCCTAGGGTCACGTGCAGCGGGAGGGGGCTGAGAAGGGAAGCAAGAGGCGGGCGGTGGAGGGAAGGGCTGGAAGGCAGGGGAGCGGGGACAGAGCAGAGAGGGGGCGGGGCGCGGTGGGGGAGCAGGGGGTGGAGACGGAGGGGGGATGGGAGGCTGGGGTAGAGATGGAGGGGGTGAGCTGAGGGAAAAGCAGGAGTGGGCAAGAGGGAGCTGGGGGTAGAGAGGGAGGAGAAAAGGCGGGGAGCTGAGGGAAAGCCGGGGAAACTGGCGGGTAGAGAGGGAGGGGGATGAGCGGGGGAAACAGGAGGGAGCTGGGGGTGGACGATGGGGGAGCTGGGGCTAGCACGGAGGGGAAGAGGGAGCTGGGGCTAGGATAGATAGGAAGAGGGAGCTGAGGGTAGAGGGGAGCTGGGGTGGATGATGGGGGAGCTGGGGCTAGCATGGAGGGGAAGAGGGAGCTGAGGGTAGAGAGGAGGAGGGGGAGCTGGGGTGGATGATGGGGGGGCTAGGGCTAGGATAGGGGGGAAGAGGGAGCTGAGGGTAGAGAGGAGGAGGGGGAGCTGGGGTGGATGATGGGGGGGCTAGGGCTAG